AAACAAAATTCAGCCTTGTTTCGGGAAAAGGTGTACTGCTTTTTACACCTGACTGTCCAGGAGTATTTTGCAGCTCTGCATGTTTTTGGTTCCTATCAAAACTTTGATATTAACCCACTACAGAAAACAATTTGTTTTTTTTCCTGGTTGAAACGATTCCTTTATCCATCTATTATTCCATTGTTCAGTCTGAATAAAGGTGCTCTAGAAAGAGCCATCCAAAGCAGAACTGGTCACCTTGATCTATTTGTCCGATTCCTTTTGGGGATGGGAATGGAAAACAACCAGGAGCTTCTGAAGGGATTCCTGTCAGGCACAAAAGATCACTCCAGTGACATCCAGGAAACAGCAGGATACATCAAGGAGCTCATTAGAGAAACTTCCTCTCCTGAAAGATGCTTCAACCTTTTCCACTGCCTGAGTGAACTGAAGGACAAGTCTTTAATGGATGAGTTCAATGTGACTCTGGATAAAGTAAAACGTTCAGGACAAAGTCTCTCACCTTCCCAGTGTTCAGCACTCGCCTATTTCTCACTGCTGTCTGAGAAAGAGATTGATGTCTTCAACATGAGTGAATATGCTACATCAGAGGAATGTGTACGGAGATTGCTACCTGTGGCAAAGATAACAAAAACCCTTAGGTAAGTACCCCAGATTTACTTCACATGCAAGGTAAGATGTTGAGAAAAACTGTCCCTGTGAGGGGACTTCTGGCTAGGTGCTCAGTGATGTAAATGTGTTCTCCTCATGCTCTTGTTCACTCTTCATTTTTAATTGTTAAAACTCATGATTATTTTTACTATTTTAAATGAGTTATTATTTATTCTACAGTCCATAACTTTGTCTAAACCTAAAGCTTATTGCAGATTTCCAAGTGAAGAGCTTGCAGCTACAGGTATCGGCCCAACTGCATCTTCCCTTTTCTTTGGCTGATATACAGATGCAGCCATTCAAAACAAGCGGGCGATACCGCATTATTTTGCGGTGCGCTTTACGTAGTCTACAGCGAGTTACCGTAAATTCTCCTATAGTACCACAAACAAAATAATAGTATCTGGAATTTCTGCAAGGTGGAGCTAATAAAGCTCAACCTCTCGTGTTTGAGCTGTCGCCATCAAAGTCTTTAATGAAGATACTAATAGTATTAATAATGAATGACCTTGGAAAAGCTGTA